GTAAACTGATGACATTTCCATCTCAGCTGTGGCCCAAGAAGCCCACAGACAGAGCAAAGGAGCTAGGTCCTGGACATCCAAGCAGGGGAGCAGAAAACTGCACTGTACATGTACTGTACTTTCCATGTTTGTGTCTGTAACCAGTAGAATTAGCTGCTGGGGAGAAAGGTACCTCCTTCAGGCTTTGATTGATACTTGTCGGGTGGTTGTTGCTTACCTGAGCTTTAGCTCTTCAGCTGGCTGGGACAAGTTCCCCTCCCCCTCTGGCTTTGATTGACACCTGTCAGGTGTTTGTCACTCAGACTAGTAACCATGCATGGCAACAGTAATGCAGACTCAGTAGCATGCTATGATGCTCATCTGTCATGCCAGTCTGGATTTTTTGGCAACAGTTGCAGGTCAATATTTCAGTTTTTGTTTTGATGCTAAAAGTGGTTCATAATGATGAAGTTCATGGTCATGGAGGAAGGAGAGATGGCTCTGTATAATATATATAGGTCACAGGGTTGGAAGTCCTGGGTGCAATTTTGAAGTTTTTCAGATTCAAACTCTGACAAAAAGTTTGTAAATAGGTTTGACATTTTACCTTTGTGTTATTGTATTTCTTCTGTGCACCTAAATTTTTAGGTTAAGTGCACCAGTGTAGCTATTCCAAAATTGACTTTTGATCCCTGTGTCATTTTGGACTCTATAGAATTTAAAGTGGAACAATATTTGCATCATCTATTTAGCATATTGAGATCATTGCTGTTAAAGAAACTCACCTATAGCCTGTTCTCTGAGCAGCAGATGAAGTGATATCTGTATAGTTTCATACTGTGAATAGTAGTCATGCTTACATGTACATGTACATGCAAGGGAAGAGCAATGTTTTGTTTAAAGTTCAAACTTTTGATCCAACACAAACAAATTCTCTCACCTAGAGCTTTCGACCAGTCACTCCTGTCTTCAGTAGACTGACCCAGGGAAACTTGTCATGTGGCTTCTTCGAAGTGTGGGTCAAAGGTATCTGGTAGAGGATGTTATCCCCCCTCCCTTCTCTCTCAAGGTTGAGTGACCAAAGAAGCCACCTGACAAGTGTGACTGCTGGAAAGCTCTAGGTGAAAGAATTTCTTTGTGTTGGATCAAAAGTTTCAACTTTAAACATGTATACGTAACAACCAACACAGATGAATTTTCACGATAGTGTAAGAGCAGTGTTTGTTAATAAAGGCACAACCGACAGACACCTGATCACTATGATCTGAGACAAGTTTGTTGCATAAATACAACTGATTGCCTGACACCGTGTGAAGTCAGTTGTTGACTGAGCCTGATGTTGGTTTGTTTCTGCTCAGGGGATGACTTTTCCATCATCCAGCAGGAGATCATCATGATGAAGGAGTGTAAACACCTGAACATCGTGGCCTACTTTGGCAGCTATCTCAGGTGAGCTTTCTTACAGGTGTAAGGCCCTCATTGTAGGTGAGTCATCTTCACCACAGGTGATATGTAACAGGTGACACTTCCCTACAGGTGAGAACCGTCCTGTTTCCTATGACCTCCAGTTATCCCTGTACTTGAACTTGAGGGAATGTAGGTTACATAAGCAGTCTGTCTCCAGTACATATAGTCGGCTAACAATGGGTTGTCAGTTACTTGCTCAACTGAAGAAAAATCTCCAGTAACAAGGCCAGGTCGTTTAGGTGTGAGGAGCTCCACCTGTCAACACCCCTGCCAAAAACTGCACCATGCACCAAATATGGACATGTCATCACCCCTGCCAAAACTGCACCATGTGCCGTATATGGACATGACAGCACCACAGCCAAAACTGTACAATAACCCACATTTGGTAGCATTCTTATTCTCTGCCAAAAATGAACTACGTAGTTATAGAGTAAGACATCCCAAAACTGTTGATATTGCTTTCAACCCCTTTCAATAACTGCTGGATACAAATGTTTCTCTCAGTCAGACCTTTAAAAAACATGTGGAAACCTTCCCCCTGGAAGATAATGCTAATTTTGATGGTAACCAATAATGACAAATTTGACTTTGACCCATGCAGATTTGTCAAATTAGACTTGTGGCCCTATCATATCAGTTGTCTGTTATCTTCACAAGTGCACAGGTTTTCCCAGTGCCCAGGCAGACTTGTTTACAACATAATGAAGGTTTAAATCTGTACTACAGCTTCCGTTGTGATAAACCACTAATGTGTACATTTGTAACAACAGATCAGATGAGTATTGATGGGGTGAAGGGTCGCCTTCCCAGCTACTGCTTCGTACTATCCATCTGCCTGTCAAATTTGGTCACAGCTAATGCTGCTTCTCTAGGTAGCAAATAATCACCTGCCCTGTGTTGCAAAGTGCCCATGATGTGGTGGAATTCAGGTCTGTCCTGGCATGCCTCCTGGGCCAAACCAGGACAGATAATTGAGTCCAGGCTTGTTGTTGTGAGCAGGGCTGTGATAAAGCAATCTCCTCAATTCTGCCAGGCTGACAGCTGTCCCGTCCTCTAGGGCTGTGGCCTCTCAGCCCTACATATGCACTGCTCCACCTAGCTGTTCCTATTGTAACTGCACCAAAAAGGCCTGCATTAGGGCTGTACTATCACTAATTGATTGGGGCTAGTTAGTATTAGTTGATGGGGATAGGTAGTGTTGGTTGATCAGCTAGTTCTAGTTGGTTGGCTAGTTACTGTTAATTGATTGGCTAAGGTTGTTATAATAAGTTGATGAGTTACCTGTATGTTATGTTATAGGAGAGACAAGCTGTGGATCTGTATGGAGTTCTGTGGAGGGGGGTCCATGCAGGATATCTACCACAGTAAGTACAGCCATGTTTCATGTTGAAACTTTTTACACTGTGGCTAAAATCAACAACAAAAACACAAGTGGTCAACCAAACCCATCAACTGACATCACCTTTCTGGTAGGTAACAGATCAGAAAGTTATGGGGCAGTTCCAGCAGAGGAGGCTGGAGCTTTGGTATCTCTTTAACACTGACATGTTTTTGTCTCTCCACAGTTACCGGTCCACTGAAGGAGACACAGATAGCTTATGTATGTAGAGAAACATTACAGGTAAGTTCTAACTTTTCTGAGCTTCCAATTTGTGAACAGAGGTTTGTATCATATCTCAAGTTAGACTGAAGTTAGGGTTTATAACAGTTAGGCAGAAAAAATATTTTTTATACAGTAACAAGTAACCATTTAAGGACATTTCGGTGCTCCCTTCAATGATATTTCCCATTGATACTGTATCTAGTCCAAATAGACCAGATTTTCTCAGTCTCCTGAGTTAGTTAGTTTTGACTGTAAACGTGTAATGTGAGTTGAGGCTATACACTTGAATGTTGCAGCTTGATAATAGTACTGGTATGTACAGTACCGTTCGCGTTATAGTTAACCGGGTACCCCGTTACTAACGAGTTAGATTTTCGTCAGAAAATGGTTAGAAAATCGTCAGTATTTGGTTAGATTTTCGTCAGAAAATGGTTAGAAAATCGTCAGAAATTATTTCTAACGCGTTACCGTTTGCGTTAATGTGATAGGGTCGGATTTCATGTTTGTTTTGCGCGCCGACAAGACAATAGCAATTTGCCACCTCCTGGGGCGTCCGCTAATGTGTTGCGATGTTGCCCCTTGAAAAATAACAGCACCAGAGGCAAGTGGACATGTGATTCGAAAAATAACTTTGTGGTTTATCCATGTGTCGACTGTGTGAAGCGAATTGTGCTATCTTTTAATGCTATTCTATAGTTATTTCTAGCGGAAAATATTACGTTGTGTAATACAATGTCAATGTATGTCAACAAAGTGTAGCAGTGGGCAGACGATGTCTTGCACATTTTGTACCAGCGGCGGCCTACCGCTCTCACAGGACGTCATGGGACGTGACGAAACAAGAAATATCTGCCGTAGAAGAAATATAAATCGGTAACTCATGCCTTAAATTCACGGCGGTTTTTGACACAAAAGAAAAATTATTATAATTTTCGTAAGGCGCGCGGCTTACTAGTAGTAGCGGCTTACTCACGGTAAAATGTACCGTCACTCCCGGCGCAAGGACTCGGTTCGCCAGCTGAGGACTTTCCACAACCATGATGATATCATAGTTAATAAAGGAATATATAATAGATCTATCATGTTGAAATGATAATTGTAATACATGGTTCTATTTAATAGCGGTAGTTTTGTTTCTTATTTTGACGGGGGAAACTGTCGAGGGGTAAAATCGAGGGAACGCAAACTGAGATCGGCTCACTTCCGGGTGTATAACGCCAAAATTTCTCGACGATTGTATAAAAATGACCACTCATTTGTCGCCTACGGTAGCGTGTACATGGTAGTGCTATCATATCGTGCCAAAGTCAGCGTCAAACGTCAGAAAATCCCCGTAAAAATATAGTTGCAAAACACATTTCCCGCGCACTCACGGCCGGTCGCCATGGCCGCGGCCGCCCTGTGATGCAGGCAGCATGCTCATTATAATATGCAAGTAGCTACGCTCTGATTGGTTCACCTTAGATGACCTGCGCTCTGATTGGCTAGAACGAAGCCCGTTGCATGCTGGGGCGCCCTTCCACGCGCGAAGTGCGATCTTGAGATAGCCACATTTACGCTGGTTTCTACCTTATTTCTACGACTAATTAGCAACATCCTAGTAACGAAATGCGTACTCAAAAGATTTTTCGGGAAAAAATATATGTACATGTGGATTTGTGGTGCCTTTGGCGTAATTTTGTTGGTCACATACAACGTAATGTAACACGGAAGTGCACGGAGTCGGAGTCGCAGCACGGCTTTCCGTCCCACTCTAAACAAAACTCCAAGGACAAAACAAAACTCCCCAAAAACTGGCCAATAATTAGCCATAAAAATGTTGTG